TTTTGTTAGGATTGTAAAACAGACTAGAGAAGGGGCAAAAATATATAAAATATGAAAATATAGAATGTTTTGTTAGAATGAGAAAAAGACCGTGGAATGTAAAGAGAAATGAATAAAAAACATATAGTTAATTTAATTTATGTGTTAGAAAAAGAATTGAGTAATATAATAAATTACTAAAATACTATTTCAAAAAATTTAATAAGAATGAATATGAATTCAAATTGGAAGATAATTATTATGAAGTAATTGTTTTATAAAATTAGAAATAATATTAAAAGTTATTTACAATTTGAAATTTAACATAGTTAAATAATTAATTTCAATCATGTAAAAAAAAAGTTCCACGATTTTTTAAAAGTTAAAATATAATGAAAATTAAAAGTTATTTACAATTTGAAATTTGACATAGATAAATAATTAATTTCAATCATGTAAAACTTCTTTCCCACATACACAATGAATCTTTTAAAACAAAAACTTTTAAAAGGTAAAGATATTTTTTAAATGTAAGATTTCTAAAACATAAAGGTTTTTCGGTTTTTAGAATATGAAAGGATTGGTTAATTAAAAAATAAAAGTTTTTTGGCTTTTAAAATATAAAAGGATTGGTTAATGATAAATTTTTTTAATATAAAATTTATCTTTTCTCTATATATGAAATAATTTTCATGAAGAAAATCACATATAATTTTCATAATAGGTTTTTAGTTTTTGTCTATATATGTGCAACCTAATTTTATCATAGAATAATTTCGTATATTAATTTTAATAAAATCTCCATATAATAACAGTTATGTCCAACAATTCATGTGGTTCCATGTCATGACAACTATATATTATGTCTGTATTTGTATAGTCTACATACCATACACGTAGTCTTTGGGAATACAGAGGAAGCACTAATATATATGTTCTCAGTTCTTAAACTGAATAGTGGATCCAAATATTTAGGTAATTGAAGTGAAAAAGAAGAAAAATGAAGGAAATGAGGGAAATGGAATAGTTGAATGAAAATAATAACGTGGATACCACACGTTTTAGTTTTTTATGTGAAAAATAGACATATATACACACAATATATATATATATATATATATATATATATATATATATGGCTTAATACTAATTTTGGTCCTAATTTTTGTCAATTTTATTCGAAATGGTCTTAATTTTTTTTCTTCTGTTCAGTGTTTTCTTAAAGAATGTAATTTATGTTCAATTTAGTCCTTTTTGCAGACGACGTTTAAATTGTTAACGGTGCACTGTCCAACTGTACAATAAGTGAATGTCATGTCATTTAACTGTTGACCTGCCTTGACTGAAACATGACACAGCCAATGAGGGACTGCCACGTGGCAGCCCCTTCCCCACCCAAAAAATGAGGGTTTTTGAATGCAAGGGGGAAAGGCCTCCTTATGCCTATTGACCATAGTGGGTCTGTCGAAGTTTCACAGAAACGAGAGCGAACTCCTTTCTCGCGGCGCGGTGAGGATTGCAGCAGCAACGCCACCGTGAAGGTTCAATCTCTGACGTAGTCGCGATGCGAGAAGTCCATCGTTCTCAAGCGGTTTCGCGACAATAGGACTCGCGATTGAGGGTTTCGATTTGGGGGTTTTTGTTGTGTTATATGCTTTTTGTAAATTGGAATATATGATTTTTGTTTCAAAATTGATTTGGGGAATTCTTGGTTCTTCTCTGTTTTGTGAGTGGTTAGGGAGTCTGTTCTTCCCTATAGGTCTGAGTTTTGGGTTTTGCAAAGTGAGGGATGATGGTTCAGATTGGGAATGTTAGGGTTTCTGAACTTGGAATATTCTTTTGGAGTATGTATCTTATTTGTTCTTTGGAAGGATGTTGGTTCTGGTGATCACGATTAGGGGTGGTCCTTTCTTGATCTTTTTCCATGAATTTGTTTTTTCGTTTTGGGTTCATTTGATTCGCGATAATGGGTTTCGTGGTGGTTGTTGTTGGATGCATGGGTGACGCCAATGAATGTGCTAGTAGGTGGCCATGGGTGGTTGCTGGACAGAGAAGATGATGAAGGTGCGAAGATGGTGGCTGGTCGTGACCGTGCAGCGGCGGTTAGAGTTAGGTGGTGTTTAAAGTTTCTGTGCAGGAGAAATTAAGGTTTCTGGAGGTAGGAGATGATGATGACGTGTCAAGGGTGATGTGTCATTGATTGCACAACTGGACAGTGCGCTGTTAACGATTTAAACGTCATCTGCAAAAAGAACTAAATTGAACATAAATTACATTCTTTAGGACAACATTGAACAGAAAAAAAATTAGGACAATTTCGAATAAAACTTAAAAAAATTAAGACCAAAATTGATATTAAACCTCTCCTTTATATATATATATATATATATATATATATATATATATATATATATATATATATATATATATATATATATATATAACATAATAATTGGAGATAATAAATTATGTTATACTTTGTTATGATTTTTATCCTTTTTTAAAAATGTCATAATAATGATGGGAACACATAATAAATTAGATTACGAAATCTATTTTTTCAAATATATTTTATAAAAAAATTAGCAACAATAAATAAATATCATAATAAAATACTTTCTCATAATTTTTATTCTACCAAACAATCTTTATTTTTTCCTTTATTTCTCATTTATTTATTTTTTCATCTTTTCTTTTTCACTCGTTTATTTCATATTGTATATATTTATATATTTGATATCTTAATTGTAATATTCTATTTTTAATAGTTTTAAGATTACTATTAAAAACATTACATATTCAATACGGTTAACATAAAGCATATAAAATATCTTTATAATTATCTAATTATGATCATAACATCAAATTTTATATACAATGATACTCTAACATTAATCGTTTCTATAAAGGTTAAATGTTTATCTTGAGTTTTACAAAACAACAATTATACATATAAACTACTCATAATGCCTATCTATACATGTACCATAGCCTTCAACACCTCTTTAACAAAAATATTTTCACCATTTAGGTAATCATTGCAAAAAAGAAAATAAACAAACCAACCAACATAAATAGAAGGAAAGCTAGTTTACCAAAGAACATACATATAACTAAAACATAAATTTTGAACACATAAATCAAATAATCCTTAGCATATCAGAATACATTCTAGATTTGACTATTCAGATACATGTATTGATATCAGACTCTGGCAAGTTCTGTACTTATAGTGATGAAACAACTTGCCCATCTAAGCTACTACACAAGGTTAGTCGACAATCTATAGCCAAGGAAAAACCATAAACTAGGACCTCATGCTACTCCTTACAACATAACTCACATTTCTCTACTTGAGATTTGATGGTTATTAGAGTGTGAAGATAACTCTCAAAACATAATCCCTACATCAACACAATGAATGCATCATAAAATCTCACCACGAGATCCACGAAATTATGCCAAACACATATACCATGCCAACAACAAACTCATTATCATTACTAGATCATACTTGAATAAATGCCATACATACTCATGCTCATATTACAATCCATGAAACATCATAAATTTCATAGTAAATACATATAGAATCCAAAAAAATCAATCAGATCAACAAACTAGAGAAAATCACAAAGAACTACATTGACACTTAGACTAACGCTTGGTGCAAAAGCTCTCGCAAAAGAGAGTGTTCAATGTTAATTTCGGGTGCTCAAGCCAAGAGACATAAATCAGTTCCAGGCCTATAGTGGTCATTGTTACTCAGCATGTCCTATTCACTGTTCAATGTCAAACCATTCGCAATTTGGTTTGTTCAATGATGAAACATGTACTCAATGCCATATAAAAAAATATAGTAGTCCAATTTTTATTTTATACAGTCCAATTTGATATGATGCACTTAAAGCTTATTTAAATAGCCAATTTAGTATCCAACCTCTTAGTTAGGTCTAAAAACAAGTTTCAATTCGACTAGGATATCAATTTGCCCAAATGACTATAGACTTAGTGTATCAAATTAACACCAAACCAAATCTAAAACAACACACACCATTAGATTTCTCAAACAAATTTTACAATCAGATTTTATAACAAATTTCATAATACAATTTCTCTCATTCAAGACATTATTTTCCTTCAACCAAAACCAAATTACAATCAATAATTAGCTAATTGATATTAAAATATGTAATTAACTAATTGATATTAAAATATATTAATTAATTTTCCTTACTTGACAAAACACCAAATTGCTCGAGAAAGTCTAAAATAGCTCCACAAGTACAAGAAGTCTTATCTACTCCTACGAATCACATAAACACAATCAAAGTATGCTATTGAAACCATTGATGAACAAAGAGACTTATAGAAGACTCAAACGTCATATACATCTACAGCATACTCATGCAAAAGAAAACAAAACATACCAAAAAGAAGAAAAAAAAACCAAACCAATTTACTCTATTTGATAGGTCAAAATTGAAAAATTTGCCGCTAGTTCCTCAATAAGACGAACTAAATTTAAAATCTTATATTTTCTATACATTTAAAATCTCAACTATCAATTAAACACTTGAAATGTGGTTTGAAATATCATGAAAGCATACAGATTGTCTTTACACAATAATTTCTTAAAATGAACATTATATGAATTACCAATTGATAACACATAAGTATGTTTCTAACACAAAAAGAACATTTATACGTTAATTTACTGAAAAAACAATTTTGATACTTTTTTTCCATGTTTTACCTTAAAGTCTTTATAGAGAAACTGGTCTACACAAAGGTGTCACTAATTAAAATACTGATTGACACATTAAAGGTAATAATTATCTACAAGTCAAAACTGATTTAGACTTCAATTAATTTAAGTTTTAATTTTCATATTTTAAACAAATTAGTTTAAGATGATAAGTTTATAAACTCAATGAACTGAGATAGTGTTAAAACACTCAGCTGATATGAGAAAAATGAAATCTAAAAGTTCTTGCTGTGGGAGAAAAGACTTAAGACATAAAGCATATGGGATAGTAGACTAAATATATAAGTATCAATAATCCAAATATGGAAAAGCATAAACAAATACAATTTATAGGCTCCAAATGTGGGAGAAACCCCATATACAATGACAATGCATTCTTCAGGTCTTTCTTGTAGCTACAGTAATTGCCTCCTCTATAGCTTGAGCAAAAGTAGCAATCTTGTATGTGAAAAAGCCTACGAGCATTGGTATCAATTCTAAGTGCATATATCCAAATTCTGGAACCAGAATACTGCAATCAGGAGAAACTAAGATAAGTAGGTTCACAAATAAATACCAATGTACATTCACCTCGTTCTTCAAAAAGTAACAAGTGGAATTTGGATTCTCTAATGAATTTTTTTCTTTTGTCCTTTGCCCTTAAAATACATTGGTTTACACTGACTTTTATGTTTTAAAATATATTAAAAATCTTTTTAATATACCAAAAGTAGTGGATTTTGAAGACACATAAGAGGATAACACAAAAATAACTAAGCAGAAAAACTGGACTCAAAGAAGTGCCACAAGACCTACAAACCATTGACAAAAATGACATCCAATCAAATACATAATCCAAACATCAATCTATTTGGATATCATGTCTAGGTAATAACATATATAAGGCAGTCAAAATGCCTTGCAAATGATACTTTCAAGGTTATGATTGCCTATTATTCAAAAGTTTTCGTAGGAAGAAGGAAAACAAGAAAAGAAAGATTAAGGCAAAAGTAAGTTCAACCAAATGAAAGAAAAAACAAAATCATGACAAGAGCCGTACCTGGAAAAACTAAAAACTTGATCAGGAATATTTGTTTGCGAATCAAATTGATTTAATGGACAACATAATAAATAATAAATGTTGAAATTACAAATGAGAAGAGGACTTACGCATTCCAGCGGTTATAGACCATGACTAGAACAACAGGAACCAGCAATCTTGGCTGCCCAATTGCTCCCCTGCAAGTAACAGCCAATAAGCCTATGCTGTTTATAACAAAAAAACAAGGTGAAAAACAAACTGACCTCCACAATTTTCACATTAAAAATGAGCAACAAATTGTTTGAATCTAATTCGGACCAAGTTGACTTACTTTGTTGAAGAGAAAATGTGAAAGACATCTAATAGGACTTTTTTATAGGGATGAACAGTACAATACAAGAGTCAAGTTTATCCAGTAAAGAAACTAAATTCTGAATAGTAAATCTATCATCTATATAGATTACTTGACAACAGCCTTTGCACCATCAGTTTTTAGCGAGTCCACACTACTTCCCAGCATGCGAATGTACACCAAAGAACCAAGAAAACCAGCTCCAAAACTGAATGCATGAAAGAAAAATATTAAACAAATGAGTAAACCTTTACATCTTTCTCTCTGATGTTAACCAGTATTATCATTTAACTAATACATTCCCATTCAATTCCTCATTCTGTTCAAATGCAGGGAATACAAATATCTTAACATTTATTTCCTTCCATAACGTTTCTATTAAAAGAAAAATCTTTGTTTCTCTATCCCACCTAAATTCTCAAAACACATTACTATAAGCTTCTTAAAAAGTTCAGAAAGGAGAAATGTTTTAAATATGAAGTGAATTAACTAATAAATGTTTGAATCCTCATTAGGTAAACTAATCTAGAACAACACCATATCCCATGTCAATAAGTTTTTAGTTTATATAATCCTTTTCGTATGTTTACTGGATGGTGGTTTTATATTGAACTGATTTTTAGCTCTCAATTGAACCATATTAGCTAGCATCTACAAAAGATAGGATAGATTGAGGAAGGTCATGAATTCAGGATAACTAAATCAGTAGGAGCATGAAGAATTCAAGTACCTAGCTGCAATCTCAGGAGTGTAAGAAACGTATGCTGAAACCAGACCAACACCACCAATACCCAAGGTAAGGACTTGCAACTTCTTCTTTAACTGAAAAACAAAAACTATGTTTAAGAACAAAATTAACAAAAACTTGATATTTGGTGAATGCCAAAACAATAGAGGGTACTATTCATATGACCTCTAACAAAAAAGGAAAAATTATCCAGACAATAATGCTTCATACCTTATCATACTGCTCTTGAGCTTGAGCAGCCAATACTTTAGGATCTTCCCGAGACTGCTTTATTTCGCGGAACATCACATCCTATAGCAGTACAGCAACTCTAAATCAGACCTTTGAATAGTAAAATTCAAGTTCTAAACATACTAATGGTACATAGGTTGTCAAGGTTTGTTTTGAGTCAAAAATATATCATTGGTTGAGTGCAATGTCTTACCGCAGTAAATATTGATTTCTCCAAGGTTATATAAGTTAGAAATATATGCAGTTAGTAAGTGCAATGATAGATCTTAATGTAGAGAGTTAAGATGAAATAGAAAAGCATTACTTACACTTCCCCCAGTTGCAGCCTTGGTAGCTCTATTCCATTTTTCTTGCTCCCGGCGTGTTGGTGCTGCTCTATATTTTACCCTGTTATTTCTAGTCTCCTGATCATCATTTCAGTTAAAGTTAAATGAAATGAATCATGTAGAGAAACATTACAAGGTATGTACCCAATTTACCCCAAAACATAACCCACTAGTGCTGGAGATATGCCACAAGTCATCAATCCACAATGACATAATAATCAGGGGAAAATGAAGGGAAGAGACAAATCTCTCACATCAGTTTCTGCCTCAGCTTGCTTGTGTGCATTATGATTTAAAGGAGCTGTAAGTTCTTTACTCAAATCAACTTCCAAACTGCAGTTCATGATTAAAATAACATTATAGATAAAAAATAAACAAAAGAAAGAGAATAATTCAACCAGATTTGCAGACTTTAATTTAAATATTGTAGAAAGAGACCTGTCCAGGCTCATGACTCTATTTAAGCTTAGAAACCCTGAAGGCTCTTCCTGTTGACAGGAATTTAATTGATGTCAGAACAAATTCATAGCAACAAACAAATTTAAATAATCTTGAATCATTCACCAACATTTCTTGAGTCACCACCAACAAAAACTAAGGCCTTCTCCCACTAGGTGGGATCAGCTACCTACGTCAACAAAATGACTGTTGTATTCATCAAAAGTAAAGTCTGAATTATTCCATGTTTCAGGAATGATAAGTATATATACGTCAACGTCAACACTTGATAAGTATATATACTGTTAGTAAATCTACACATTCGCCTACGCACAGAAATAAAGCGGATCTGTTTTAGGAAATACAGGGGCCTGTAATGTTAGTTCAAGTGTTGACGGGGATATGGATTGATTACACGAGTAAAGATATTTACACAAAGTCAAACAAATCAATATTAGGTAATTGATTGAGATTATTTCATCTGTTTCTTAGTTCATTATTTCAAACGCACAAAAAGGCCAAAAGAAAAAGCAATCACCATAACCACAAGGACAGTGCTCCCACAAACAGCTGTTCAACATCAATCCAAGTTTCCAACAAAAACAGCACCAATACACAACATCAGAATTTTAAAAACCACCAACCCAGATGGACATTGGGTGAGTGAGAGAACAAATTGACCCGAAGTTCAGACCTTTGCAGGAGGGGGTGGAGCTTGAGGATCTTGAATCAACTTTTTGAAGCGACCCACAAATTCTTTGTTCCACATATAGTCATCAGAGGCCAAAGGGTCTTCATCATCGCCACCCCAGTACTTGCGGAGCTTGGTGGTTGTGGGAGGACCACCGTACTCCCCAGGAGCCATCCCAGTGGACCATTTCACGGGCTTCTTCTTGGGAAGGATAACTTTGGTCTGCTTTGGGTCTCTCAAGGGCGCGGAGCTTGGAGACTCTGGAGAAGTGGGTGTGGCTGCACAGCGCACACAAACGTGGCTCACAAGTGCCATTTTTCGTGTTATGGCAATGAAGGGCCGGACAGATACAAAGAAATGATGTCGTCAATTGTGTGTGTGTCTGTCATGTTTACACATACTAGTTGGTTGCCAAACAATGCTTGCAAAATATCTATATCTTTTTTTTAAAATGTTTTTTTTTTAAATGGAATAGAATTATCATTTAAGATTATTACTCCTCTTTTAATATTTTTTAAGATAATAATATAGTGGTAAAAATCTCTTCCCCAATAAATATATCTGAATAGTAATCATAATAATAAAAGAGTATTTGATAGATAATAAAAATTATTATCCAAAATTGATAATTACTCCTTCCCATTTCTAATAAAATAATATTATCGTAGTTAATGGAGAAAGATATTTTCTTGCCTACATTTATATTTTGGATAAACATAGAAAATCAAAACTTAAAAGAAAAAAGAGAGAGGTGAGAGTAAGAATTAAATAAAGGCTTAATTAATGATCTAGTTTATCCACGTATAATAAATTCTCAATTTACAATCTTGTGGTTCACTTTTAATTTACTTCTTAATATTTATTAAATAGATGTTAAACATGGATATATTATTTATTTACTTTTTTTTAAATTGTTTAAGATGATCTTACGTTGACATGTCATATCATTTTACTTCGGGTTGCAGTTTTTATTTCATAAATATCTAATCAATAGATAAATATCATAAAAAAAAAGATAGATTTGAAATTTATGAAGTAAAAGAGGAAAGTTAAATGTTTTGTTCTTTTAGGTTGTTATTTTGAGTGGATTTGAGGGAATCGATTTGAGAGGATTTGAGGGAATTTTTTTTTTGTTGTTTTTTTGAGCGAATTTGGAGGTAAATGAGAGTGAATTTGAAAATAAAATTTGTGAGAATTAGAATAAAATTGTATTGACGTGACAAATTAAAAAAAATTATTTTCAAATTCACTCTCATTTATCTCCAAATTTGCTCAAAAAAACGATAAAAAAAATTATCTTTAAATCCTCTCAAATCCCCTTAAATTCACTCAAAAGAACAAGGCCTTAGAGTGATTTGGGAGAGATGATTTAGGGAAGATGATTTGAATGGATTAGAGTAGATTTAAAGGTAATGTTTTTGTTGTTTTTTTTAGTAAATTTGTGGATAATTGAGAATGGATTTGGAAGTAAAGTTTATGAGAATTAGTGTAGGATTTGATTGATGTGAGAGATTTAAAAAATTTATTTAATTGGTAGAAATTAAAGATTACCAAAATGTCCCTAGTAATATAAAATGTTATTTGTTAATGTTATATTTAATTGTAAAAATGTTTATAAAGAGTAAAAAATTAAAAATAATAATTAAAATTAATTTTTTAAAAGTATAAAAATTATAATTTAGTAAAATGAATTTATTAAAAAATTATAATTTTTAGAAGTAAAATTAATTTAGTAAAAACATTATAATGCTTAGATGTAATTTGAATATAACATCTATTAGAACATCAATTTTCAATTTTTGGAACTGCTTATCAATTATAATAATAAGTTTTAATTATATAAAAAAGTATTTGAATGAATTGATTTCATCATTTGATTATTGTGGTATAAATTACAAAATTGATAACCTAATTGGAAAGAGTAAATGTCAGAACTATTAAAACGCACCCAAAACCCCTATGTTAGAACCATTAAAAACGCACCCAAAACCCTCTACGCGGGCGCTAGGTGTCAAGCAAAGAGGATCCAAAAATCAGATAGTGGAATGCAAGTGTCAGCAGATGAGCGGATGTTCGTTTAAGCAAAACTGAGTTTTTAGAAAATCACGTCCCACTCTCTCTACATGCACCCTCCTTCTCCAAACTATGATATTCTCATTTTCTCCTCTTTTCTCTCTCTAAGAAATCTCACCTTTTATCTTCTCCGATCACCATTCAGGCACCATAGAAGCGTTTTCGGCGTCCTAAGCTTCATTCTGAACCGAACAGTTTCGCGTTCTGACCTAGTAATTCTTCTTCTCCTTTAGTCGTTCGTTCCCTAGCACATGCAAACCAACTTATGGTTGCATGAGTTCATAGTTCCTTCTGAACTAGTTGGTCGGTTGTTTGTTTTAGTTTGAAGAGTTGATTGAACGTTGAGGATAGAAGGATTTTAGTCAGGCAAACCGCATTCTATCTCTAGTACGATCGTTCACGCTTAAAGATAAGGGAAACTTATTTTATTTAATTTGTATGATTATGTGATGTATGCGCGTTCGTTGGAATGAATGAATGAATATGTTGTATGCTGGTTGATATGTTTGAATTATATGAAGTATCAAAAATTGGTTATGCTATGAATGTGTAAAGTTATGAAGTTACACGTTAAGAAATGAATTTGATTATATATGAATTCTGAATATGAAATTCCCCTAAGATATTGTATGTTCGTTACTGAACAGTCTTCGATCGTTCGGTTTTCTGAGTGAACTTGGTTAGAATTGGATTCTTTCATTTGGGAAGAATCCTAGTAGTGTACGAGCGTTGCATTTCGAAACACTGTGCTTGAGCGTTCGGTCAAGCATAATTCTTTCTTAATATCCTGTTATGAACTTAAGTATGTATATATATATATGTGAAACGTATATTTTAGTTATTCCTAAATTCTAATCCAATAGTATCTTAGTATATTTATCAAGCCTCTTTTATATAAGTTTAGTAGCACCTGGTCTTATACCAAGTGTTCATCCTAAGCAAGTGTTTGGTCTTACACCAAGCACTCGTTCTATCTCCTTAAACTAAATGTTCTAATATGAGCGTTCGTTCAAGTCACTAGGGTTCATTCATTATAGTGTTCAGTCTTTAACTGACATTCGTATTTCTTGATACTAAATCTAAATAATCTAAGTTCTTATAAACGCTCGGTTTATTCATGGGAATTCCTCTACATATTATTCTTTGAATCTCTCGGAGTGACTGTGTCCATTGGCTTCGGCCTGGAGCTTTAGTGTTGAGTATGGTCTTTTAGATGTTCGGTTAAAGCTCTTAAGAGTCAGTTCATCTAATTGACTCATTTTGTAAGTTACGTTCGTTCTATTTGTTGTTAGTGATATTAGATTGTACTTGGTTTCTTTTTCAAACCAATAGTCAACCTCTGGGTCTAAATTCATTCTGGAACTGGAGACCTCTCAGTCTTGTTACAATTGTTTAGTCTCGTTCTGAGTCAGGGTTGAACGTTCGGTAAATTGTATCCGAACGGATTTTTGTGTGAATTGTTTAAGTGAGATGATTATTAAAGAAAGATGAAGAAAATGAGATATGGAAAGGTTGTGAATTGTGGACGAGCGTTCCGAGGAGGAACAACTCATGTATGAATATTGGAATTGTAAAGTATGACTGTGGGCATGCTAAGCTGGCTGTTCATCCTGATATTCCGTGGGTACTCATCTTCACGTAGAGGAGGGTAGGTCATATGTGGGAACGACAAGAGGTCCTAGTCCTTAGGGGTACTTTGGACAGATAGGGTTAACCTCGGGTGGCAGCTGATGAGAGTATTCCAGTTACTACATCACCCGGGTGCACGAACGTCTGTAGCTACGCAGATTTCATACAGTCTGGACAGTCAGTCTAGTAATAGGCTTTGTATGATACTTATGTTGAATTTATCTTGTGTGTTTGATTATTTGAAATGTATGTTTATGCATGAATTAAATTATATAAGCTTACCCTGTATTTCCTATATTGTCTTGTTTTGTACGTCCGTCTTGTCGTTGCAATGATCATCCGTTGTGGATGTGAGCAGAAGGGGTCGAGTTGTTGGAAGATGCTCTGGAAGAAGAAAATTTGGTTGAAGTTGAAGTTAAGGCCGAACAGTAGGACGTTCGGTCAGTAGTCTAGTTTTGTAGTGAGGTAGTCGTTCGATCACCTTCTCTTTTGATTTTATTTGACCGTTCGATATAAACTTTTGTAAATCGTTCGGTTAGGTTTGCTTATCATGTACAATTTTAGTTGTAACTTTTTTGTAAGGCCGTTCGGCCAGAACCGTACGTTTTTTTTAGTGTAAGACTAACTGAAATATTATTAAATGTAATTATTCTATCATATAGTTTATTGCTGTATTTTTGGGATGTTATAGTAAAGGGGACAAACTCTACCAATTTAGCTCTAACAATTAACCTAAATAAAGGAAAAATAGATATACAACAATTTGCTAATATAGACTAATTATTATAATTTAAAACTAATTATTATAATTGATACTACTAAATCTATAATTGGATTTATTCCTACCACACCCACAATGTTGTTTATTTATGCCTGCAACAGTATACAAAATTGTTAACATGCAAAAAACCACTATGAAACTGGGTTAGCTAAACACAATTACCCTTCCACAACGTTGGCTACCTTCACAAGTGCAGCACAGAGGTCTAGTAAGACCAACACATTCCTACAACAACTTAACCTATCTCCATGCAACTTCACCAAACTCCACCACCTTCACGTACGTCCACAACGTTGACAACTCCTTCACCTACAAGAAAAACACAACAAAAGGTTACGGTGTTGTTCCATACTCGTGTTGCTTCAACGAATGTTGCATCGTTCCCTTCCTCACGCACTACTTCTACACAGTCTACATCCTCCGGTCCTTGGTGCACCTCCTCATCTCGCCCTCATGCATCCACTACTCCATAATCCTCTTCAACTCGTCCTCCTTATTCATGCCCACAACTTCGACCGCTAACCATTAATATTCAATCACACCACCGACGATGGCAAGCAGGGAACAACGATGAAGGTTGCTGGAACCGCGACTTCAACGCTTCAAACAAAACACAAAAACCAACCCTATAACCGAATAAATTTCTGCCTAACCGAAACCAAATAAAGCTTTTCTCTGTGTTCTGCATAACCCAATACGCCAAACCAGTAATCGGATACACCTTTGCCATTCCAACTTCTACACCAACCCTTCACGCCGAACTTCTCCATCTTCAGCGCCTCTTCCTCATTCAACCTCTCCTTCCCCATCTTCAACTCATCTTCATTATCAACAATGGCAGCCAATCTCTGCATTGCTAGGCTGCCACACTTACATACTTGGGCTGTCAAAGTGAAGCCTATGT